CTCTTTGCCGTGGTGGGGGATGAGGGGGGGCGCCAGCGACGCTGGGATGGATGGCGGGGCGGGCTACGGCTCTGGCGCAGTTGATGGGCGGAAGGGCGCAGGAAGGGGATGGGGGCATGGAGAGAGAGGAAAAGTGAGTGGGGCGTGAGTGGTCTATGTGGACTGGGCCTTTGCCGAGGGCCCAGATCCGGGCTCTCGGCAAAGTTTTTTTATTTTTTTTAAACTCTTTGCGATACAAAAAAAATTTGTTTTTTTTCCCATTTTTTTCTGGTGGCTAATAATAATATTTAAAAGACATATTTAAAATTTGGAGCTTTTTTTAGTTTATTAGCTATATTTAATAAGTTTATTTCATTTACTTGAATTCTTCCCGGTAATTCAAATTTGAACTGCAGGTGCATCGAATATTGGAATTGAGTGATTCAAAAAATCATATTCATGGTATTGCATGTGGTGTGATACCGTATCCAGTGACAGATGCCAAATTTGGCGCATCGTTTTCACGGAACACAGCGAGGAACTTGCGTGTAAAGTATTTTTAAATTATATAAAATGGAAACGAAGTCCGAAATTCACGAAACTTGTCGAGGTGTCATTTCATCGCATGTATAGGCTGTGATAAAAAATTGAGTGGGTTTCGAGCAAGTTGCGACGTCCGATGCCTAAAACCCAGACATCTTCGCATGTGAAGCGAGCACCTTTTCTATTCCAGTAATGGTTGGAATAGGGCGTTCGTCTGCCCGGACGTTCCTATTGGCAGGCCATGACACCAGCCCAATGACCCGCTCCTATCCGCTCGTCCACTCTCGCCCCCAATTTCTAAAAAATCGCCGCGACCGCGCTCCACCGAGCCGCCTTGGCGACGGCGTCCGGGCACCCGTTGGCTGGCATCTCCACCGCGCCCAAGCGTGCCTGCCAGTCTGCCTCCCTATCCATCGTGCCTCCTGCTTGTCGTGGTCGCCCGCCTTCCTCCCTCTCCGCTGCGCCTCCGGCCCACCGCGGCCTTCTCCACCAGACTTGCCTCGACCTAATCCACTAGAGCGGCAAGCTCTACACCGATGAACTCTCTGTGCCGATGAGCCTCCATTCTGTCAAGCAACATGTAGGTGTTGCACTAAAAGCTCATGTTGCAAACGTATGTTTTCGATATTTCAGAGGTATGTTGTATGTGTTTCATATGGATGTTACAAAAGTAGATCTGGATGTTGCATATGTTGCAATAGCTATACACGTATGTTGTAAGTCTTTCAGCTATTTTGACGTATGTTGCAAGTGTTTCGTCAGGATTGCAAAAGTAGATATGGTGTTGCACATGTTGCAATGGGATCTACCTATCGCAGCCACTTGTCAGAAGCTCTTGAGTCATTGCCGTTGTCGGTCGCCGCGTGCAAGCACACGAGGCCAGCAGACGACGATCGTGGTGCGCATCCACATGTGGGGCAGTGGACTGAGACCCACGTGAGTGCGAGAAATGGAGCGGCACGGGTGGTCCCCACGCAAACGAAACTCCCGCGTATGTATGGGCACGCAACAACGCGCGGGCATCCGTCTGTACGTCCGGATGCTAGCAATGTCTGTTTCTATTCTGCCAAGTGCCAACAGAACCGCGCTGGAATCAGGCTTCGCACGGCTCGATCACTCTCTCTTCAAGCTTGATGACCAAACTAGACATCAAGTTAGCAGAAATTACAATAAAGATATCATCTTCCCGGCTGCCGCCTGCCGAGCCACACTAGCCGCGCAAGTGCCGGCCTGCCGCTCGCCGCAACCTCCCACCTCGCGCGCGCGCTTCAATTTGGCCCCGTTAGACTGTCTCCAATAACGCGACCCAACCCCAAAAATATGTCGCGCACAGTATTTTGACAGCGAAAAACAATCTCCAACCGAGTAGGCAAACACAACACGCATTTTGGGTCCCACTACTGCTTCCTTCGTTCCCTTAACTCCGTCCGTCTCTCACCTCAGCTAAGTACGTGCAGCCAGCCACTACTCTCTTTCTCCCACCACCATACCTATCTTCTCTGCTTCGACCTCTTTGCCTTGAGCTTATGAGACGGACACATTACCAGATCATGGAGAAGGCTACGTGACGGCACGTACCGGCGTTCGGGGAGTGGAACTCTTTGGTTCGTCACTAAGATGTGACAAATTTTCGATGGCTGTTGTTTAGATGCTTGCCACAAATATTTGACAGGACATCACAATATTACCACACGTGGTTAAACTATATTACACTAAATCAAAACAAATTAATAATAGATATGAAATAGTGGATTAATTATAGATTGATAGATAAGAAACAATAGCTTAAATATAGATGCCGGGGAGGGGCTGTGAGGGAGGTCCAATGTGGACCAAGTCTTGGCCACAGATCAAGAGATGGACGGTTTAATATTTGTTGTAGGTGTGAGGTATGTATACTAATATTTCTACACGTTTCCTAGTTCAGATGCCTGAATTAAAGGACCGAGAGAGATCGAGAGAGGAAGAGAAAGAAAATCTATACTGCTGGGTTTTTTGGATGGTTAGATTAAAATCTAATAGATACTGTTTTGAAAAGAACTTAAAAATCAGGCATATGAGAAATAGCAAATCCCATATTTTTATTGTATTCCTAGATTTATTATTTTAAAGAAAAAAGGCAAGTTGACCTTCATGTTCACGAAGGAACATGGCAAGGCAGAGCAGAGCTCGACCACGGCGCTCGCCCTCCCACCGATGCATTCCCGTTCGCAGTGCTCTCCCTCCTGCCCGATCCGCACTTCCGCCGCCGCCCACCAGAACCAACCCGACAGCAGCTACGCGGCGGCGCATGGCCGCAGCGCCCTCCTTTGCTACTGGCTCCACGTCCTCGGGCCAAAGAGGGTGTTCTCGTGACTAGCTCCGCTTCCTCGCGGCCAAGGTCAGCCCGGGAGAACTCATCATGGTGGGCGGGATGGGGACGACAACATATCCACGGAGGAGGAGGCGTGGCGGTAGAGGGCTTTGTAGCGGAGGCGGAGGGAAACCATGCCACCCGATTTGACGCAAAAAAAAAAACTAAATAACGAATGCTTGTTCCAGGGGCGGCGAGCCTTGCTTCAATAATCAACCGAACACCTACCTAAGCACATGTGGCAATCTTAACTTTAGGCGTGGCAAGGTGTGGCAGGCAACCAAACAGGCCCGAGGACTCAAGCGGTGCCTATTTTAGGTGTTAATGTTGTTCAGCTTAGGTCTAAATGACCGAGTCCTAAGGACTATGGGCACACCACCTCTATCGAACACATGTTGATCGGACGTGTGGACTAATTCACTGTTGGATTGGTCCCAACCAATAAAGGACACCCGTGGCTTTTGACGTCTCTCTGCTCTCTCAATGGGATATCCACCATATCCCTAACCTACCGATCTGAGGCACAAAAGTCGGGTCAAGATCATAGGCTAGTCACCAGTCCCTGTGCCAATGATTCTTCAGAGTGTGACTAACAACAAGGCGAGTACCGACAACTTAACAAGAGGTGGATCCAGGAGACATCAACCATAATGATCAGCTACGTCTAATTGAGGTATGTACTAATTAATCATGAAATTAGTGTGTTCATGTTATTAGGTTAGTGATTGTAATAGGCTAATCACACATTTACGTTCTAATATCAGGTACTTCCCTTCCCCGTGGTGTAGACCGCCGGCGCCTAAGAAAGCGTGAAGGCCGCCGGAGATTGCAGGAGGCAGAGAGCACCAAGAGCGTCACATTGCGACGGAGACCCCGGTAAGGGCGGTGGCCGCAGCGCTCACGCCGGCCAAGTGCGCGCCCCCAGGGTGGTGAGCCGGTGTTTGCATTGCATGCCTCTGTGCAAAAGCATGCCACTCACTGCAGCGTGCAGGCTTTTCGGCGGGGACGCTGCCCTTGGAATGGACATTGGTCAATCGTGGTGGAGCCTATTATTATTTGGCCATGAGTAGAGACTTAATGCGGCGGTTAGCTAGGACACAGCTACTTCCTCTTGGGTCAATAGCATGCTGGGGTAGAGTACTTTTACAGCGTGGTGATCCGAAGTCCTGTAGAAAAAGGAGAGAAGATCCACTCCGGATACTAAGTTCCTCAGTGCAGATCAATACAAAATCGAAACACGGTGTCAATATTTGGACAGAAATGGTTGATGATATAGTTCTAGGGAAACTAAAGGCTTCGTTTGAACGGCTTCGCTTTAAGTTTTCCTGCTCTACTTTATAGTTTTAGCTAAATAGATGTAGCTTCACCGACTCTGCTGCTTCAGACAAAAAGGATAGACTTGTGATCACACATAAAATGATACTCTAGAAACTCTAGGTTTTTTTTACATACTTTACGGTAGAATTTGTGAAGCAAAGCTTACAGAGCAGTTGCAAACAAATGTAAGTGCCTTCAACCAACAGTACTGTATAAATAACGGCAAATGAAATATACGGTGGCACGTGCCCACACAGGCCACAGCGGCCCCATTTTAAAGTACATCGGGACGCTACCCTACATTCGGACGCGTGAGAGAACCAACGGTTGGCCGAACAGAAGCCCGTGTGTCGGAAACGGCGAGGTTACAGTGGTCCACTAGTTGCTCTACAGTCATCGCGACGTCAATGGCCGGCTAGCCTGCCCAACTAACGCTGCTACCGCCAGAGCTATCTAGCCCTGACGTCATTGCCCGGCAGCACCAGCACTCCAGCAGTGCGCAACGAATGCGAGCGCAGGCGTCGCCATGCATGCCGCGCGTACATCATGTACAGTGCACAGCCGTCGGGCGCGCGCCGTGCGTGGAGTCAAAGCAACTCGACCGAGAAATTTATGGCCTGGCCTGCCCTGCCCTGCCATGCCACTCTGCCTCGCGTGCAGTTCTTCCTTCCAGACAACGACGCCACGGCAAGGACTAGGTACGTGCATCCAGCCATTGTCGTCCTCCCACTACCACCACCTTCTCTGCTGCTGTAAGCCTTCTACTCACCAGCTTCGACATCTTTGCCTTCGATCGGCCTCTGCGATCATGGAGAAGGCTAGGCGGCGGCACGTGCCGGCGTTCGGGGAGTGGAACTACTGCTACTCCTCGGCGTCCTCCCCAGAGGAGCCGGCGCCGCCGCACTCCGGCGCCGCGGCCGTCAAGTCCTGGTGGTGGTACGCGCCGGAGCCGGAGGCCTGCAGCGACGCCTGGTTCAGGTACTCCCCGCCCCCACGCCGTAGGCCGCCGGCGCCTAATAAGAAGAAGGCGCGGAGGCCGGAGACCGCGGGCGGCGGAGTCGTCGTCGCTGGAGCTGCGGAGCACGAGAGGGCGGTGGCGGCAGCGCGCACGCCGGCCAAGGGCGCCCGCAGGGTTGTCGTGAGGCCCGTCGACGAGGACCTGTACCGGGTGCCGCCGCCGGACGACGATACTGCTGTATCTCGCCTTCCAAGGCGGCGGGTACGTACCGTGACATATTAGCCGGAGCGACAGCAAAAGCTCACGTATTCTTCATTTCTTCTTGCTATCCTTCAATTCTCGCAGACTAAAAAGTTTCCTCGCTTTGGTTTGCAGAAGAGGGCGGCGAGGAGGAGCTTGTGGATGGGCTGCTTGGGCCTCAACTGCGTCGCCTGAAGCTAGCTAGCTTGTTACCATTACCAATGGATGCGGCTAGCTAGCTGATGCAACACTACTCTTAAGCTAGTAGTGTAGTGGAACTAGAGTGCTCTTTAAATTTCATGTTTGCTTCCTCTCCATCGTGTTCGTTGTTAGCTCACTCTCATTGTGGCCCCGTTCGGCTTACCTTATAATCCGCACTATTCAGCTTGTTTTTTTAGCCGGAACAGTGTTTTTCTCTCACAACAATTCAGTCAGAACTGTGTTTTCAGCCAATTCAGCCAAGTTTCAGCAAGCTGAACGGGACTTATGGCAGCATGAAGATTAATTAGAGGAGCAGTACTAGTAGTTGTGCCAGCCAAGCAATAGATCGAGTAGCAGTGAAACTCGACAGGGTCAGTAGTGCCTGTGTGGGACAGTATGGATTAAGTGCTGCATCTTGTCATGCCATGGCATGATGGTACCAGTTAATAGAGCCATCTTGCTAGCTAGTAGCTCCTGATCAATTTGTTTGATTTGTTGCAAATGCTAGCTGCGTTTCTATGTTTGGGTTAGTGCAATCCGCGCTACCCGGATGTCTCTCATCACTCCAGGTCTCCAGCCATCGACTACCAGCCTTGTGCCTTACTTGAATGCGAAGTGACGCACATTTTAGGAACGGTGGTACTGTTCATGCCTGCCATACTGTGCATGTGCTTTGGGCAACGATTTATGAACGATCCATGTTCAGAGAGTTTATAATTTTTTTTTTCCACAAGAGGCGAGCCCCATTGACTCTCAGAAAACCGAAAATACAGGAGTTTGGTTTAGCAAAAGAACAGGAAGAGTTTAATTTCCCACATGCTTCCTAAAAGGCGACAGATCAGAGAGTAAATGTACGTTCCGATTCAACAGTAAGGTGTAAATGCTTACAACAGATGGCCCCAGAGCTGTGTTTCTTCTCTGCCAACTGGTCGGCTCTACACCAGTCCATTTTGGCAGAGCTCCATGCATGATTATGGCTTGTTGCAGGCACACCCAGCCCTTGTTTAGTTAGAACCCAAATTCCAAAAAGTTACTACAGTACATGTCACATTGAATGTTTGCGGCTCATGCATTGAGCATTAAATGTAGACGAAAAGAAAAACTAATTGCACAGTTTGGTGGGAAATTGCGAGACGAACGTTTTGAGCCTAATTAGTCCATGTTTGAACACTATTTGCCAAATAAAAACGAACGTGATACAGTAGCCCCAAAATCCAAATTCATGAAACTAAACAAGGGCCCAGTACAAATCGATCCAGTGGGCCTCACTATAGGAAACTGGAATCACCTTGACGCCCAAAGATTTTTCTTGAGTGCCATGATCAAACTGCCAAGGAAAGTGCATTTTTCTTGGCGGTGCTACTAAACTCTCAAGGAAACATATATTTCTTGGAGGTTGAAGTAAACCGCCAACGAATATGGGTATTTTCTTGGCGGTTTCCAATTATTTCCTTGAATGTAACCGTAAACAGTCAACCTTGAGTGTTATTCTTAACCGCCAAGAAAAATACCTATTTCCTTGAGTGTTATTCTAAACCGTCAAATAAATTATCATTTCCTTGGGGGTTATCGAAGTTTCTTGGAGGTTGGCACCCAATGAAATGTTTGTAAGTATTTTGGTGACTCCGACTGAAAAAATCAATACTATCTTAATGGTGTCTGAAAATCCTAAAATTTGGTAAGAGATCATAATATGGTTGTATTATCTTGGCATAAAATTTTCAAATCATATTAATAAAGTTGGACTATACGTTATTCACAAAAGGATATATCTCTCACATAGTTACATAACTATGTGAGACATGTGTCCATTTGTGAACAATGTATAGTACCACTTTGTTTAAATCATTCGATTTTTTATGCAAAGATTATACATCAAAACCATGTTGTCATGCAAGTTTGTAGAATTTTCTAACAAAGTTTAGATATTATTTAATTATCTTATGGTAATTTGGAGATAAAACTATGAATTATCGAAGCAAACAAATGGTTTTTTTTGTATAACTCCAAGATATGGGCTAGAGTGAAATGTATGAGCCAAAATATATTTTTATGTTTGTTTTTAATCTTTTGGAGGTATATGTATGAACAGTTCAGTTTACAATTACTTTAAATGAACATCCATAAATTAATTTTAACTATAGAAAATAGAAAATATATTCAAAAAATTTTAAACTCCTGCACAACAACTTACATATAGCATATTACATTTGAAAAATATATTGGGTATACAAGATACGTTTTTTCACGTTACTTTAGAAGCATTTTCCTACTTATTTAAACATTAGACAAAACAATTAACTACGTATAATTGACAACCTCACAATATTCAACGTAAAATAAAGCCCATCTCATGGATGCAGCCCACTACAGCCCAAATCAAACACTGCCTCAGCCGTTAGATCGAAAGGAACGATCAAGATGCATTGGGCGTTGGAATATAACGCTCTCCAGAAACCCTATCCGCCACCGAGCCCCTCTTCCCCATACGTCCTTTTTTTTTCTTTCTTCTCGGGTTATCTCCCGCTCCCCAGTCCGCACCAGCGCGCTGTTCCTGGGTTAGGGCCTTAGGGGCGGGCGAGCGGGGGTGGCGCGGGGCCGCGTGGCGGCGGGCGGAGCAGCGGAGGCCGTCACGCAGCAGCTGAGCAGGGCAGCGCGCAGGCCGGCTCCAGGCTCCGGTGGGCAGGCGTGGTAGGGCGCAGGCAGCGCCCAAGCCAGCCTGGTGCTGGCAACAGCCGGTCAGACGGCCAAGAGACCATCCGCATCCGAGGGCTGGCCCCCTCTCTGAAGGCGCAGGCGGGAGGGATACGTCCGATTCGCGATCTGTGGCCTCCGATTCGCAATCTGTGGCTTCTAATTCGCTTCATGGTTAAGTGATGTTTGCTCGTATCTTTGGTGCAGTGCGAGATCTGAGTTGAGCAGGATATTAGCACAATGATATTAGGTTTGATGGTCATACCTTTCATATCCTAACTGTAACTGTAACTATCAGTAGTAACATTTGTATGTTTAGTAACTGAACATTTGTATGTCAAGTCTGATTGCGTTGGCACCAATTTTAAAACAGATCTAGTCTAGTGATTGATATGTGGATAGTTGAACTGAAAATAGGTGCAGTTGCATATATGCGCTTGGTAGTTCTGCATTGCTAAGCTATAGAATGCATGTATTTTGTTGTCGATTTTGACAAGAGGTCTATCTGAATTTGTAATTTGAGGACAAAAAGAATTGTAGCATTTTTCATCATATTTACATTGACAAAAATTGTGCCAGGTATGCCTTGTTAGCTGCTAGGCTTTTGCTTGCATAGTTGCATCTGTTTAAAATTATGTTACACAGATTTTCATCTTGTTAAGTTGATAGTCTAGCATTGCATTTCAAGATTTAGACCAGTGAAAAACAAGGCGCGATTCCGCGCTCGCCTAAGCGCGACTAGGCGCTGGGCGGAGGCCTCCCGCGGGGCCTAGGGGTGAGGCGGCATCTAGGCGGTGCACGCGTGCGTTTGCGGAGGAGGCGGCGCCTGGGCGGGATGCGCGCGCGTTTTGGCGGGCAGGAGAGCGCGCGCACGAGCGGACGGCTACGCGGGAAGGATCGATTCGCCGGCCACGGTACGTCTCCGGCCGATTCGTCGTGCGCGAAGCTTGTACTTGACGCCGTGGACCCGTTTTCCGTATCACCGGCCATCTTCTCCCTCCATGCAGGCCTCCTCGCGCCGCGCCGCGTCCGCCCGGCTGCCCGCCATGCCTCGAGCTCCGTCGCCCCCTCCTCGCCGGGCCGCCATCGCTGGTGAGCTCCACGCCTCACCCGCCGCTGCCCTCGCCCGCCCGCCTCGGGAACCCCAAGGTGAGGTCCGCCGCCCCCTGCCTCTCTCTCTCTCCTCGCTCAGATCCTTTCTATCTTCCTGCTCAGACGCTTAGAAAACGCCTAGGCGCGCGCTAAGCACGCCTAGGCGCTAGGCGATGGGTCACCGCCTATAAACCGCCTAGCGCCTAAAAAACATTGATTTAGACACAAGGAGGAGGCTTGAAAGCTGCAGTGGTCCATATGCAGAGTCATAGGCAACATTGGAACCCTCAATTGCCTTTTCAATTCAAGGTAAAGCTCTTCCAAAATGGCTGCGAGGCTAGACCATGCTGAGATAGATGGTGTGTGAGATGTATACTTACTATTCCATTGTTTATTAGTAGTTTTGTAACAGTGAGATGAGCAACTGTTGTACTACCCTGTGAAGCTAATCTGCTCGGTGTGACCTCAGTGTTAATCCTTGTTTCAAACTAGCAACACTGTTTCTTGCTTTCACAATGTGCTAATTGCTCAACACCTATTGCTTGCCTTAGGTTGCTTCTTGAACGGAAATTAGTGATATATTGATAGAGCTAGTAATCTGGTTGAACTTTATTGATGAACTGGAGATAATTGCAATGGCTAAATCTAGAGATAATCAGCAGCGGTAGAGCAGGTTCGCCTCTCTCGGGAGGCTCGAACGTGTTGGCTCTATTTCGCTTAACTTCCCTAATCAGCCGCCCTTTGTTATATCTCCCAATGGCCTATTTGGACACTAACAAACTCACTAACAAACTGGCTCCCAGATCCTAACTTATAGGAAAAGATAACTATGGCCTAAAACTAGCCACTAGAGGCTGGCGCCTTCTTCTTCTTCCTGCTATATTGCTTCCCAATGAAAGCGTCTACAACACTTCCATCCTCCTTTCGAAATAGCTCATCCTCGAGCTGGAATTTGGGATAGGTGGCCTTGAAATCTTCCAGCAGCTCCCAGGTTGAATGAGCTGGCCTTCGACCGAGCCATTGCACCAAAACTTCCCACACACCATGGTTGAGGCGCCTTGCGGGCAATGTGATGGGCTCAGAACAGCATGGCCATGGACAATCTGAGGTAGTGGAACAATGTCTCAGAGGAGTGTTGCCATGGAACTTCTTCAGAACACCACGTGGAACACATTGTGATGCGTGCCTTAGCAGGGAGCGGAGTGAGG